AACAGCGTCAGCATGAATCTTCCAGTAAAGCCAATCGACAGCTGGTCAAGAGGAATTTGCCGTCGTCTTCCGGTGGAACCGATCTTCGAATCTCTTCACCCAACACTTCTACTCGAAATGGAAGTAAGCTCAACAATTATAAAACAAGAGATTCCTCGAAACCCAACTTTTCTTCGTATACAATATATCTACGCCCTACCCTCTTATCACACTCCCACACTGTCACAACTTCTGACGTGTTTATATTCCACTCCTCAAAAGGTGTGTTCTTTTTGGCGAGTTTAATGCGACGTCATCACATATGATATTTACATTACTCCTCCTCTCCCTCTCGATTTACTGATCCAACTAGGGCTTTCTATCTCACTCATGGCCCCATAGAACCGAGTCATATCTTTCTATTTCATCGATTTCACTCGGTTACAGTCTCAGTGTATGTTTTACTCCAGGCCTTATCACTCAAACCTTCAGTAGCACGTACACTTTCAAATCACCGAGCAGAGCATCTAGGGTGTTATTCCAATGCTTGCATAGATTATGCGTCATTTCCTTGATTAAAACCGTATAATCTGAACAAACCATGGACGTCTATTTCTGGTCCCATACTGAATCTCGAGTGGATTTCTATTCGAGTTTACGAATTTCTGTGGCGGTTGTGATTATCCCTCTTCCTATTTGTGTGACCGTCAAAGCACCAAAGCTGTAGTTATTTCTTCGAGCAAGCTACATTCACAGAGAGCGTTTTCGCTTGATTTTCGAATGTTCCTCATCCTCCTCTCCGTTGCGATCCCTTATTCTCTGGTTAATTATAGTTCCTTGATAAAAGCTTCTCTTCACGGATGGTTTTGCGAAATTCCTCTGGTTAACGATAGGTGCTTGCACCAAGTATCCCCTTTTTGCTTGTCTTGTGGTATCCTTGTTTTCTCCGAATTCGCTTAAGCAATGGACAAGTAAACACAATAGAAAGAACAAGACTCTTCACAAATTTACACAAACAAAATGAAATGATAAACTAATTGGAATCCTCAAGAGTTTTCACTACATAGCATGCATGGTCTGCAAGCATAAAAATATTGGCAAAACGGAGGGAAAAATTCAGCATACGAATCAAGAAACATTAAAGCTTCTGCAAGTAATGCATAACGAAAGATCAGAAATAGCGGAAAACATTGAACAGATTGGACGCCAGATAAATTGTATGGCAAGCGGAAGAAAGGCTTCATATGATGAAAACTTAATGAATTAGAAAGCTAGGTGGGCCATTGACATCCTTGCGGAAAGAATTTTAATAGACATGAGATTGGAAGAATGCAGATATACCGATAATCCCTCTATAGTTTAAGCACACTTGGACAAAACAAAGATACCACAAGACCATCCGCAAAAAGATGCTATTATCAAGGAACTATCATTAACCAGAGAAAAAGGGATCGCAACGAAGAAGAGGATGAGGAACATTCGAAAATCAAGCGAAAACGCTCTCAGTGAATGTAGCTTGCTCGAAGGAACAACTATAACTTTGGTGCTTTGACGGTCACACAAATAGGAAGAGTGATAATCACAACCGCCACAGAAATGCGTCAACTCGAATAGAAATCCACTCGAGATTCGGTATGGGACCAGAAATAGACGTCCACAGTTTGCTCAGATTATACGGTTTTAATCAAGGAAATGACGCATAATCTATGCAAGCATGTGAATAATACCCTAGATGCTCTGCTCGGTGAGTTGAAAGTTTACGTGCTACTGGAGGCTTGAGTAATAAGGCCTGGAGTAAAACATATACAGAGACTGTAACTGAGTCAAATCGATGAACTAGAAAGATATGACTCGGCTCTATGGGACCATGAGTGAGAGCCATATAGAAAGCCCTAGTCGAGAGGGAGAGGAGAAGTAATGTAATTATCGGATGCGATGACGTTACAGTAAACTCGCCAAAAAGGACACATTTTTTAGAGTGGCATATAAACACGTCAGAAGTTGCGACAGTGTTTGAGGGTGATAAGAGGGTAGGGCGTAGATAGATTGGCCTGGACAGAGATAGGATTGATAGCATAACCGCTCGTCATATAGTTGGTCGACGGATTGACTTAATTTGTGTATTTGACGAGTTTTACTTTTGAGAACCACTGACGATGCCGGCGAAGCGTCTGGGAATGTGCCAAGTCCACGGCCAAACGTTGGGAATAATGATAACCACTATAGCCTACGATTAATTGTAACGATTGTGTCACACAGAAGTTGTTTCACCTTGTTTTCGAAACTTGGTTATATTGCTAGGTAGACTTAGATGACCGCACCTACTCCGGAGTCCATTGTACGCAATATAATTTTCAAAGTTGGACCTTGGATGTCGTACATTCGCAGACTTTTCGCCGGCATCGTAGTCGTTATCGTCAGTGAGTATTGCCTGTTTGGTACTGCTCATATTGATTTAGTTCAATGCTGAACCACAATTTTTGTGGGTTGGCACATAAGAGACTAGAGCATAGCAAGTCATAGACTTTGTATTAGGGATACAAACAGGATAGACGTCGCGGCGACTAGAGCTGGTTAGCTGACAGTAGGTCTATTTTACCTTAGACTTGGTCCATGAAGCAAAGGCTTGGCCATGAGAATTACGCGGGGTCTTTAGCCTCACTTTAGTCTAGCAGACGCAGAGTGTGGTAAATAACGCTTCGTGGAGCACTTATGTGGTGGCAGAGGTCGAATGAAACACCTGAATCTGGGAGATAGCAGACGGATCCTACGGGCAGAATGAAACTGATAAGACCTAGAGAATGAGGACTGCGTAACAATATGGCAGACTCTGATTCCTATTTCCAGTACATGGGTGAAGGGGGGGTGAAAACTCCAGCGTGGAGCGTGAAGGGTTTTCATAAAAGCCGCTCAAAAGGGCACAACACACAACATTTAAATAATTAAGGAAAAATTGTGATAGTGAAGGCGTGATACGAGGATATAGTATAGGTAAATAGCTCATGAAGGAAGGAGTGATACCACAACTGTTTAGCACACATTTGGTCAAAGGATCAGCGTCACTTCTCTCTGACGAGTTGTAGTGTTGTGCTAAGAATGGCAAGGCCCGCTGACGATGCCGGCGAAACGCCTACAGATGTACCACGTCCACTGTCCAACTTTGGAAATGATCATGCATACAATGGACTCCGGACCAGGTGCGTTCCTCTAAGTCTTCCTACCAATATGACTAAGTTGCGAAAACAAGGTCAAACAATTACTATACCATGAAAGGAGACTGCGACCACACAAAAGGCCACCCCATCTTGGTCTTTATATCTTCGATTAATTTTATTTTCTTATTTGGAATATTAGTCACCCCAGGTCAATTGAGGTTATGTAAAGAACGTTATATATATATATATATATAAGTATATATAGATGAATCGAATAGAGATGCATCATGGGCTTACGATTTTAATCTACTTCATAAATTCATTTGCCTTGCTTATCATGGATGACCATCCCAACCTTGAACATTTTTAGATCGTTCTGAACAGGTAATCTTGTTTTATTTGCTCTCCTCCATCTCCCATTTAAAATTGTCCTTCAACCTTTCATTAAAGCTTATCTATTCATCTTCCCTAACCCTTTACATTCTACTTATCAGTCATATCCCAGTTCTAGCCAATCTGTCAGTGAGACCCTTTGGAATACCGGTCTCCGTGAACATATAGCCTCTGAGATCAATCCCTTTTCTTTGACGGAATCATCCTTGTCTCAATCTGAGGCCCCTACAATTCCCGTGACTACCACTCCCAACTACACTACTACTAGACTTTCGACACTCACTTCCCTTTCTGGAGAAATGAACTCACTTCGGGATCGATCTCCTGCATCCAATATCTCTGTCGATACCAGCCTAAATGGTCAGCTCGAGGTCGCACCTGCAAACTCTCCAGAGCAGATTCAGCTAGAACAACGCCGAAATCATTCGCATCGACTATGTTACTATCATCACCATCAACACCATAACCGTACTACCAACCTTCAGGATCAGTCTCGAACAAACTACCCATTTCGGCCAGCCAATCTGGGCCAAAATCATGTTTCAGGAAATGGCCTTTTGTTGGCTGTTCCACAGGCAGGCCAATTGGGTCAAGGCAGCATCAATCTGGTTGATATAGCCCGTGTTTTGGCTGCATTCGGACGAATTGTAGTTAGTACTACATACCCGGGTCTTTGCACCGCCAAGCTGCCCGATGACTTATCAGTCCATCTTCTTGCAAAGGTATTAATAATTTAGCATTGAAACTTTTATTGTTAAGCTATTTACGACGGGCTTTCCGCTCCAGTTCAAGAGTTCTGGGATTTGCTCGAAGTGTGCGGTAGTTAACTTCTTTGATCTTTTTCAGGCCCACATGAGCACATAACTTTTTGGGCTAACTAGCGTTTAAATTGTAAGGTAATGAAAATGCAACAACATTACTTTCATTTTGAGGGAAACTTTTTAGTGAGGAGATTCTTGATTGACCTCACTAACAGACGACGGCAAATCCCCTCTGATTTGCTGTCAGTTGAAGCTACTAGGATATTCAGGTTGATGCAATCAAGGACTAATGACCGTTGCTTTTTGACTAAAGGAAATTCATCACTACAATTACCCAATGCGAGTTCCTTTCATTCCCCAAATAGTCTCTATTCTGAATCTTATTTCTTATTGACTTAACATTATTTTTAAATTAGACCTAATTTGAACTGTTAATACATTTCTGATCCTTATTCGTTATTCCAACGCTTTCTATTTGCCAGCCGCATAGTTTTGATAGCCAGTTTTAGTAGAAGGCTAGTGGGTCTGAGTAATTGAGATAGAGGACCAGAAATTTATGAGATTATAAGTGCCTATTAAGTTTGATTGAAAATTATTTAATTGAAGTTAATTAGAAATTAAATTGAGCATGGTGACTATTTGGGAAGAAATAGCCAGACACCTTTTCTCATTCTAATTTTGTTATCTTGTCCTCTTTCTATAATGATTGACGAGCTATCACTTTGTTAAGGAATCAAAACAGTTTTTAAGGAAGCTATGAGACTTCGTTTTTGTCTAGATTTAAAGAACCATTATATTATCTAAATCAGGCTGTTACAAAATAATGTGCTCATATGACCGACCTTATACTGGAGAGGCCAGTTGATCCGTTCGCCAAATAAAAGTGAAGTATGAAATGCATATAGGGACTGTTGGATCCAGAGGTCAGAAGTTGCGAGTCTCGTGGCAGAAAATGAATATATATATATATATATATATATAAGCCTCATATTCGTTCTTACGCCTTACTATTGAAAGCAAAATATGTAAATTAAGCGTATATATGAAGACCAAGTTGTTGTGGCCATTATTTTGTTCGCAGTCTCCTTTAGATGTATGGAGGTGGTCTGACTTATTTTTTGCAACGGTCGTGTTTTCAGGTCGGCATAGTTGGTTGCTCCTTGTTTGAGGTCCTCAGCTATAGTAGTTATACTTATTCCAAGCGTTGGATCGTGGACTTAGTACATTTCTAAGTCGAGTTAGCCGTAATGCCGAATTTATGTGGTGGTTGTGATTATGCCTCTCCCTAGTCCTGTGATCGCTAGCCCCCCAAAGTTGCAGTTGTTTCTTCGAGGACACTATACTGACTGAGAACGTCTTCATTTTATTTCCGAATCGTATTCATCTGCTTCTTACTATCTTTTTTCCTCTAGCTAACAATATATCCTTGATACAAACATCTCCTTCTATGTGTTCTTGCTGCATCCTGGTTTCTGCTCTTGCCGTATCATTGTTTCCCTTGGCCTTCTTTAAAAAATAGAGCAAGTTATCGATAACTGCTTTGTTCCAGTCTACTGTTAATTTAATTTCTTTTCTCAAGGATGTCATTGGCCTTCCTAATCTTCCGTTTTCTCCTAATGAGGCCCTTCTGCTGTCTGGCTATATTCACTACATTGTCTGGAAATTCTAAGGTTGTAGTTTAACAGTATATACGAAGACCAAGATGTTGTGGCCTCTATTTGTGTTGCAGTCTTCTTTAGCATTATAGTGGCCACAAAATTTTGGCCTTCGCATCAACGGTTGCAAGATTGCCTGACAAGGCCCTTGATACAACCGGACAAAAAAGACACAGAGCTTGTTTAACCTTGTTTTCACAACTTAGTCATATTGGCAGGAATACCTTGAGGAACGAACATTGTTCAGAGTCAATAGTATGGAGGATAATTTACAGTCGGACCGTGGACGTGATACATTTGTAGACGTTTCGCTGCAATCGTATTTGGCATCGTAAGTGAGTCTTGCTACTTAGCGCCTTCTACAACTCTTCAAAAATACAAGTGAAGCCGATCCTTTGACCAATTGTCTGCTAAACAATCGTGGTATATCCGCTTACCCCCTTGGCTAATCGCAAATTCTATATTCTCGTATCTTGCCTCCACTATCACAATTGTTACTTGTTTATTTAGATGTGGCATAGTGTGCCATTTTGATCAGCTTTCATGAAAACTCTCCACACTCCACGCTGGCTTTCTCACCCCCTCATCCCGCTTCACTCTTGTTGATCAGAGTCTGCCCTATTGTTACGCAGTCCTCCTTCCATATGCCTTTTCAAGGTCTCCCTCTTGCCCCTCAGGATCCGTCTGCTATGACCGTAGTTAAAGTAATTTACTCGACCCCTTCCATTCCATCTGTGCTACTCGAGGAATTATTTACCACACTCTGAGTCTGGGAGACTAACTTGAAGCTGAAGTTACTGATTAATTACCATGGTCAAGCGTTTGCTTCATGGAACACGTCTATGTTAAAACAGGCCTACGTTCAGCCAACTAGCTCTAGGCACCGCCGTGTCTATCCCGTTTATATCCCTTATACAAAGTCACTTCTCTTTATGGCCTTACCAATTTATCTACTCTCTAGCCTATCACAGTTTCCTACTTGTTGGTATCCAACTCCTCAAGAGGTGTGTCCTCTATTTGGCGAGTTTAGCATGGCGTCGTCACACCCGCTGTTTGCTTTGCCCTTCTTAATATTGGACGTAGTTTTAGAGTTTGTTCGCAGGATGGTAAGCATATATTTCCTTCATCCCTACTTTTCTTTCATAATCCCCGTCCTGCGATTGACTTTTGACGGCCCCTTGTTTCTTTGTATTACTTCTCCAATGTACCCGTTGTGGAACAAATTCGAGTCAATTTGTTCAATTCTTTATCCAAGAATTCCACGTCCGTTAATCGTAGGCTTCTGATTAGCAGGTTCCTCATTATACCGATCTTTAGCGTCTAGTTGTTATGGCACAGGAAATTATCATTCTTCAAGGATATGCATTCTTTCTGGAAACTTTTCTCTTGAATGTTTCATTCAAGCGGATGACTTCAACTTCAGGAAAGGTAACCTTTCCTCTTTTATTTTCATTTTGGATAGGATTCTTTCATCAATCTGGCTTATACTCTTCAGAAAATCTTTCGGAGTTGTACTCACTTTCAAGTCTTTTCGCAAATATATACTGAAGATCGGAATAATGGGGACCACGATAAACGGACGTGAGATTCTAGGATGAAGAATTGGACAAATTGTCTCGGATATTCATTGGCAATGGCTACCCGGGAGAATTAGTACAAAGAAATATACGGGCTGTGAAAGATCGATGACAGATCGGTGATTTCAAAATGTTCTTAGCCCACTAATATCTTGAGATCCCCTTTCCATCTATACTCCTTCTTATAAAACTAATTTTGCCATTTTCTCTGTTTTTCCATGTCTTTGCCAAATCCAATATCCTAGCTCAAGTATAGGAGCTGAAAGAGGAAGATTTTAATCTTGAAGACCTAATATACTGAAATTTCTAATTAAAAAAGAAATATGCAGATTGAGCCCCTAATTTATAGTGTGTCAGGATAGATTAATTAGCACGAGGGATAAAAACTGTCTAGATATTTAGTTTAAAATGGCTTATAATAAAATATGTTTAATTAACAGCAAGTTATTTTCATTGAGAGAATACTAAACATTATAATTTATGGTGAAGAGGATGAAAAGTTATTTAATTATTACATGTAATTAGTATAATAAATAGTATACCTAAACATAATATATAGTAAATCGTCGTTAATTATAAAAATTATT